AATGGATGAAACCAAGTCATAAAGGGAGAAAGCAGTAATGTTATCAAGCAGTGCTGATATGAAACTAAACACAAAACTGAGGTTTAACTAGGGTAGAAGGAACGTTATTAAGTATCTAGGGGCTCTTGTCCAAGGATGAGCTCCAAGAGGACTGAGGTTCCACTGATTTAAACTGCATGCAAATGTTTAGATGAAAGTGCATTTTTCCAGGGAGAGGGTCCAGAAGCAGATTATAGTTCCAGGAGGCCAGGGATCCTGAATACTTTGTTCACCATTGTATTCCTAGCTCACAGAATAGAGCCTGGCAGCTCACAGATGTTTATTGAATGAATATCTGGCTGACTAAATGAAAAGCTTTCATTGGAGTCTCAAAAGGGTCTTTAGTCCCCCCAGATTTTAAGACAATAATTTGGAAGGAAAAAAATCAAACAGATCCCTTAGAGAAGTTTTATCTGGGCCAGAGCTCTGAGAGGAATTTTATCACTGTGGAGTGACTGAGGAATCCCTCCTGTGATTCCTTTCAAGGAACTGGTTGATTCCCTTATCCATCAGCTTTCTGATTCTCACATGATAGGCTGTAGTCAAGCTTGAATCATAAGCCAACTTCTGCCACCTACTATCTGTGTGACCTTGGTTATATTAAACATGTCTAGGACCAGGTTTCCACAATAACATCCTTTGAGGGCCTGCTGAGTGGATTAACTCAGAATGTTGGTGTAATGCTTGAGCATTATAGTGCACAACCAATTTTTGTGTCTTCACCTGCTCTCCTCCAACTTTTTTTTTTTTTAAATACATAGACATTTGTTCACATCCATTTACCCTGATTCTCAGACCTCGAGGCAGTTTCTTGCTCTAACCAGTCTGCCTCTACCAGTCCATAGGATTTGTTTGGTTTGGCAAGTAAATATCAATTACTGTCATTTATGGAAACTGCTGTCCAAATACGCCTAATTACTCTGTAGCACAAGAATAATGGGGGGAAATCATTTCTTGACTTCCTATTGTATACTAGCACTACTGGGCACTTTCATGTCTTATCTTACCCTACAAATTAGACTTGTCATTAAGTAGAAGCATTAACAACATATTTGCTATTTGGATAGTAATTTTGTACCTGGACCATAGAAGGCACTAAAAAAATAACTGTTGACCAAATAAACTTTCTTTTACATTTTAACCTAAACTTCACAAACATTTAAGCATGGGCAGACATGCTCCCAACCATAAAATGAGACTGCAAATGGGTGAGTTCTCAGGGAAACTGGCTTGTATGAAGCTGTTTTTAGTAGATTAATCAACAAATATTTACTGAGTGAATACTCTGTGCTCAAACTATGAAAAAACCTGGGGCTTGTGAGAACATAGTACTCCAGGAGCTGAGTTGCAGGTGGGGAGACTAGATCAAGACTGGGGAAAGTTTACCTAGTTGGCCCAGACTGGGATGGACATGACTGAGAGTGAATGGGCAGAGACTTTTGTAGGTTTTCAGGAGAGATCTCTTGGCAGGGCTGACAAAGGAGGATTTAGTGGGAAAGGACTGGATTCAGTGTTGGGACACTTGGGCTGTAGTTCTGGATGACGCTTAACTGGCTGGGAGACTTGGGGCAAGTCCCTTAACTTCTCCAGACATCAGTTTAGCATCTGGAAAATAAAGGAGGGTGGTGGTATTGTTGAACTTGTTATTAAGTGCCTTCCAATTCCTAGATTCTAAAATTCTGACAGCCACACTTATTTTTCCTTTGAGAAGAAAATACTTCCTACACTTGGAATTGCAACAATCAATGGCATTTATAAAACACCCACTATATCCTAGGAGACTGTGCCATAAATCCCCCCCAGGTTTTTTTTTTAATTAATTAATTAATTTATTTTTGGCTGTGTTGGGTCTTTGTTGCTGCATACGGGCCCCCTCTGGTTGCAGCGAGCGAGGGCCACTCTTCGTTGCAGTGCGCGAGCTTCTCATTGCAGTGGCTTCTCTCATTGTGGAGCATGGGCTCTAGGCGTGTGGGCTTCAGTAGTTGCAGCATGTGGGCTCAGTTGTTGTGGCTCGCAGGCTTAGTTGCTCCACAGCATGTGGGATCTTCCCAGACCAGGGATCGAACCTGTGTCCCTTGCATTGGCAGGCGGATTCTTAACCAACTGCGCCACCAGGGAAGTACCCCCCGCCCAAGGTTTTTTAATCATTATTTTTAATTGTGGCAAAATACACATAAAGTTTACAATCTTAATCATTTTTAAGTGTATAGTTCAGTAGTGTTAAGTACATTCACCTTGTTGTGCAGTGGTCCCCACCATCCATCTCCAGAATGCTTTTCATCTTGCAAAACACAAACTCTGGACCCATCAAACAATAACACCCTATTCCCCTTTCCCCCCACCACTCTATTTTCTGTCTCTATGAATCTGACTACTTTTTGTACCTCATATAAGTGGAATCATGCAATATTTGTCTTTTTGTGAGTGGCTTATTTCACTTAGCATAATGTCCTCAAGATTCATCCATGTTGTACCATGTGTCAGAATGCCCTTCCTTTTTTAAGGCTGAATAATATTCCATTTTATGTATATATCATATATTTTTATCTGTTCATCTGTCGATGGACACGTGGGTTGCTTCCACCTTTTATGTCTTTTGAATAATGCTGCTATGAACATGGTATACAAATATCTCTTGGAGACCTTACTTTCAATTTTGGAGGGTATATGCCCCAAAGTGGAATTGCTTGATAATATGGTAATTCTATTTAAAAATTTTCAAAGATACACTGGTCTGTTTTCCATAGTAGATGTACCATTTTGCATTCCCACCCACAATGCACAAGGGTTCCACTTTCTCCACATCCTTGTCAACATTTGTTATTTTCCTTTTCTTTTTTCTTTTTTTTGATAGTAGCCATCCTAATAGCTATGAAGTGGTATCTAATTGTGGTTTTGATTTGCATTTCCCTAATGATTAGTAACGTTGGGAATCTTCTTATGTGTTGTCATTTGTATATCTTCTTTGGAGAGACGTCTGTTCAAGTCCTTTGCCGGTTTTTTTTTAATTAATTAATTAATTTTATTTATTTTTGGCTGAGTTGAGTCTTTGTTGTTGCGCATGGGCTTTCTCTAGTTGCGGCAAGCAGGGGCTACTCTTTGTTGTGCTGTGCGGGCTTCTCATTGTGGTAGCTTCTCCTGTTGCAGAGCATGGGCTCTAGGCATGCGGGCTTCAGTAGTTGAGGCTCACGGGCTCTAGAGCGCAGGCTCAACTATTGTGGTGCACAGGCTTAGTTGCTCTGCGGCATGTGGGATCTTCCCCGACCAGGGCTCGAACCTGTGTCCCCTGCATTGGCAGGAGGATTCTTAACAGCTGCACCACCAAGAAGCCCCTTTGCCCGTTTTTTTGTTTGTTTTATTTACTTATTTTTTTTTGGTACACGGGCCTCCCACTGTCATGGCCTCTCCCGTTGTGGAGCACAGGCTCCGGATGCGCAGGCTCAGCGGCCATGGCTCACAGGCCCAGCCGCTCCGCGGCACGTGGGATCCTCCCGGACCGGGGCACGAACCCGTGTCCCCTGCATCGGCAGGCGGACTCTCAACCACTGCGCCACCAGGGAAGCCCCTGCCCGTTTTTTAATCAAGTTGGTTTTGCTGTTGTTGTTGAGTTGTAGGAGTTCTTTATATATTCTAGATATTAACTCCTTAGCAGATTCACAGTTTGCAAATATTTCCTCCCATTCCATGGATAGCCTTTTCACTCTGTTGTGTCTTTTCATGCACAGAAGTTTTAAACTTTGATGTAGTCCAGTTTATCTATTTTTTTCTTTTGCTGTCTGTGCTTTTGGTGTCATATTCAAGAAATCATTGCCAAATCCAACATCATGAAGCTTTCCCATGTTTCTTTCTAACAGTTGTATAGTTTCAGCTCTTACATTTAGTTCTTCCATGAATTTGGGGGGTTTTTTTGTTTGGTTGTTTTTTTGGCCATGCGGCATTTAGGATCTTAGTTCCCTGACCAGGGATGGAACTGGTGCCCCCAGCAGTGGAAGCCAGGAATCTTACCCACTGGACCGCCAGGGAAGTCCCCTTCCATGCATTTTGAATTAACTTTTGCATAGGGTGTAAAGTAAGAGTTTAATAACTTCATTCTTTTGCACGTGGATATCCAGTTTTCCTAACACCATTTGTTGCAAAGACAAGCTTTTCTCCACTGAATGGTCTTGGCACCCTTGTTGAATATCATTTGACCATATACGAGAGGATTTTGGGTGGCTGTACAGAAGGATATGGTCTCTGCTTTAAGAAAGCCTCAGTAGAATTGAATACTCAGATTATGTTTCAAACAGCATTTTTCCAGTTCTGGTTGTGTGCTCACTGGGTTCATGTTTTCCCACACTTTACCTCTTAATCTTCCTATCCAACAAGTGAGATAGATAAGATGATCCCCTTTAACAGAGGAGTAAACTCAGTCCCCAGAAGAGCACGGTTATGTCTTATGTAGGGGCAGGGACAGAGTCAGGATTTGAACCCGAAGTTCTTGGCTCCACGTGTCCCGCTATTTCAGGTTAAGATGGACCTCGTGTTCTCATCTCTAAAATGCGGGCAGAAGTGAAATGAGAGATCTCTATTGAGCAGCCTTGCAGCTGTAGGATCTATGCAGATCTATGTAGGATCCTGGCAGCTATGCATTAAGGAGTCGCCAAAAGCCAGGGACCAAGCGTGAGGTGTACACGTTAAACACTATTAGACTGCAGAGAAGAACGTAACTCAAACCCCAAGGCCAGCCCGGAAGGCCAGAGTCCTAGGACCTGAGCCCCGCCCCCGGGCGGACCCCAAGTCCTTACCCGGAACCAGGGCGCGGCTGGGCTGTGCTACTGGTGCGGGTGAGAGACGAGCAAAAGAAAATTGTCTGCGACGAGAGTCTCGTTGAAATGCCCCAATGGTCTCTCCGGATGGAGAGTTAACAGTTTCACAACGTCTCTAGGGCTAGTTCCCTTGCCTCTCTCCCTTTTACTCACCTCCCGCGGTGTTATTTTTCCCCTTCGGCCCTGCATTGGATGTCCTCTTGGTACGCCCCCACCCTGACCAGGAGGGGCGAGGCGGCCGCCCGCGTGGGCACTGCGCATGCGAATCCCGCAGACTGAGGGTGGGGTGGGGTGGGAGCACGGACCCCGCCCCTTCGCGACTCCTCGCGTGACGTCGCGGGGGGCGCCGGCCTCCGCCCGGCTGCGAGCGGTGAGAGCGAGCGGCGGGCTGACTCGACGCTGCTACAGCGGGAAGGGATATGGGTGTTGAGTTTCTGCTGGAGGGGCTTTGCGGGGGAGGGGAGGCCTAGGTGCACCAACAGCCGCCGACCTTCAGGCTCTACCCTCCTCCTTCCTACCTTTTATCCCTTTACAGATGTTCCGGGACGGGAGGCAGGGCCAGGGCTGTGCGTTTGTGACACCTGCATTTCCCTGGAGCCCTCCTTCTCTCCCATCCCATATGTTTATCTTGCCTTCCAGATGTTCCTTTTCATCAGGCTCTTGCTTCTCACCAGGGAAAGCGCACTCCACTTGGAAGCTGGAGACGGGTTTCAGACCTTGGCCCTACCACTCCTTTGTTAAAAGTGCCCGAGCCTCAGTTTTCCCCACAGTCTTTTTGCCTTGCTTCATCTGGTTTTGAAGATCAATATGACCCAGAGGAATAGAAAGGAAATGGACATTTGTTCAGTTCCTGCAAGGCCAAGTACTATGCAAACTGTTTTATCTGATCCATTTAGTCCTCACTACTTGATGTTCTTAGAACTCCCATTTCACAGATTCTTAAGCTCGCAGAGGTTCGCTGATTTTTCTCACATAGCCAGTGAGTGGCAGAGGAGGACTCAAATTGAGTTTAGCTCCAAAGTGGAGTTCTTTTTCATCAGACGCTTCCCTTGTCTGGGCTATCAGCTGGAACTGTTCTTCAGCCAAACCCTAGCCCCAGAACAGTTGCTTCCTGAATCTCTCCCGTTGAGAATTCTCCTTTTCGAGTTCCTTTTTCCAGTACAGCGTGCTCTGCTCTGCTTCCACCTTGATTACTTCAGAAATGAAATGCAGCAAACATTTATTGAGTGGTGCCTGGAGATGAACACTTGGAGTCAAGAGCCTTGGGTTCTTGTCCTGGCTCTGCCACTAACTGGCTGTGTGGCCTTGGCCAAGTCGCTTGTCTTCTTGGTGCTTTCACTTCCTTTGAGTAAAATGGGTAAGTGCCTTCTTACTGGCAGGCTCTTGTCCAGGTCTCCCTTCCTGTCCTCCAGCAGGCTCTCCCTGGAGGCCCAGACCCCTCTGCTCCCCATGGGCAGCTGCCAGGCAGGGCACAACCTGCATCTCTGCCTGGCCCACCACCCACCTCTGGTCTGTGCCACTTTGATCTTGCTGCTCCTTGGCTTTTCTGGCCTGGGCCTTGGTGGCTTCCTCCTCACCCACAAGACTGGCCTGCGCAGCCCTGACATCCCTCAGGTGAGTACTCACCCTCCGGCTCATCCTTCCCCTGCAGGCCAGCTCTTGCTGCTGATCTCCTCTCACCTCTCCCCACCTTCCTTTTGCACACAGGACTGGGTCTCCTTCTTGAGATCTTTTGGCCAGCTGACCCTGTGCCCCATGAATGGGACAGTCAAAGGGAAGTGGCGTGGGTCTCACGTCGTGGGCTTACTGACCACCTTGAACTTCGGAGATGATCGAGACAGGAACAAGACCCAGACATTCCAAGCCCAGGTCCAGGGTAGTCGTATGGGATTGAAAGGTGAGACCAAGGAGGACTGTGGGGTTGGATATCAGAACATTCAGAGGTGGGCCCTGCCGCTGACCTCACCATCCTGGTGACCTTGGGCACACCTCTGAGCGTTAGTCACTTCTGCTGTAATAGGACTAGATACTTTCAGTGAACACAGTGCCCACTGTGTAGGCTCTCTATAAATGTTTCCTCTCTCCCCTTCCAACTTTGAGGTTCTTTGATTCTATCCTTGGAGGTGTGATGAGATGGGCAAGATTTGACCTGAAGTTTTTTCTCAACCCTCTTCATCCCTTGGGGCTTCTGTTAGAGGCACCTTCTTTTTCCTCAGGGATATCAGAGAAACGTGTTCTGTTTATTTAAACTAGTGTCTTTAGTGCCTGTTATGTGCTTAGCACAGCTCTGTGTGCTATGAAGGGTACAGAAAAATCAGACATCCTCCATTCCCAAACTGCTTAGAGTCTTCTGGGAAGCTGATGAGTGAGAGTGAGTCAGAGGGCGCCATTAATTCCTGTGTGAGACTTGGCCTCAAGTTCCTTATCTAAAAAATGTGGAGATGAAGGAGGAGAGAAAGGTGGAATTCTTAGACTTCTGAGGTCCTTTCCAACACAATTGTTCTAAGATTCTCCTATGAGTCAATAGGTGTATGTGTGTGTAGGCACACATACGCATATTGCCAGGTGAGAGTAGGTCTCTGTATTGCCAAGTGAACGTGTGTGTGATCAGAGAGCAAGAGAAAAGGAATGTGTCTGATTATATAGACTCAGGACAATTTCTCCTGTTCTTTTTATGTAAAAAACGTAATAGCTGTATTGAGGTAAGACTCACATGCCATGAAGTACACCTGCTTAAAATGTACAAGTGAACGGCTTTTTTATATTCACAAAAGTGTGCAACCGGCACCACTGTCAATTCTAGACCATTTTCATTACCTGACAAAGAAATCCTGTTCCCATTAGCATGCACTTCCCTTTTTCTCCTAACCTTCCAGCCCTAGGCAATGAGTAACTACTTTCTGTCTCTGCAGATTTGCCTATTCCAGACATTTCATATAATATGTGGTCTTTTGTGACCGGCTTCCTTCACTTAGCATAACGTTTTCAAGGCTCATCCATGTTGTATAATATGTTAATACTTCATTTACTTTTATTGCTGAAGAGCATTCACTATACACGTATTCCACATTTTATTTATCCGTTCATCAGTTGATTGACATTTGGATTGTTTCCACTTCTTGTCCATTATGAATGATGCTGCTCTGAACACTCATGTACAAGTTATTGCATTACCATATGTTTTCATTTCTTTTGGGTATGTACCTAGGAGTGGAATTTCTGGCTCATATGGTAACTCTGTGTTTAATCTTTTTTTAAAAAAAATTTATTTATTTATTTTTGGCTGCATTGGGTCTTCGTTGCTGCACGTGGGCTTTCTCTAGTTGCAGCGAGCAGGGACTACTCTTCATTGTGGTGCGCGGGCTTCTCATTGCGGTGGCTTCTCTTGTTGAGGAGCATGGGCTCTAGGCACGCAGGCTCAGTAGTTGTGGCGCATGGGCTTAGTTACTCTGCGGCATGGGGGATCTTCCCGGACCAGGGATCGAACCTGTGTTGCATTGGCAGGCAGATTCTTAACCACTGTGCCACCAGGGAAGTCCCTATGTTTAATCTTTTGAGGAACTGCCAGACTGTTTTCCAAAGTGGCTGTACCGTTTTATATTCCTACCAGCAGTGTATGAGAGTTCTAATTTCTTCACATCCTCACCAACACTGGTTATTTCCTGTTTTCTTGACTATAGCTGTCCTAGTCAGTGTGAAGTGATACCTAACTAAGGTTCTAATTTGCATTTTCTTTTTTCTTTAATTTTATTGAAATATAGTTGATTTACAGTGTTGCGTTAATTTCTGCTGTACAGCAAGGTGATTCAGTTATACATATATATATTCTTTTTCATGTTCCTTTCCATTATGGTTTATCACAGAATATTGAATATAGTGCCCTGTGCTATACAGTAGGACCTTATTGTTTATCCATCCTATATATAATAGTGTAGTTTGCATCTGCTAATCCCAAACTCCCAATCCTTCCCTCCCCAACCCCCCCTTCCCCTTGGAAACCACAAGTCTCTGCTTTATATCTGTGAGTCTGTTTCTGTTTCGTAGATATGTTCATTTGTGTTGTATTTTAGATTCCACGTATAAGTGATATCATATGGTGTTTGTCTTTCTCTTTCTGACTTACTTCACTTGGTGTGATAATCTCTAGGTCCATCCATGTCGCTGAAAAATGGCATTATTTCATTCTTTTTTATGGCTGAGTAGTATTTAGTTTGTTTTCATGTCTTGGCTATTGTGAATAGTGCTGCTATGAACATAGGGGTGCATGTATCTTTTTGAATTATGGTTTGGCTGGATATATGCTGCCCAGGAGTGGGATTGCTGGGTCATATGGCAACTCTATTTTTAGTTTTTTAAGGACCCTCCATACTGTTTTCCATAGTGGCTGCACCAATTTACATTCCCACCAACAGTGTAGGAGTGTTCCCTTTTCTCCACACCACCTCCAGCATTTGTTCTTTGTAGACTTTTTAATCATGGCTACTCTGAATGGTGTGAGGTGGTAACCACCTCATTGTAGTTTCGATTTACATTTCTCTAATAATTAGCAATGATAAGCATCTTTTGATGTGCATATTGGCCATCTTTATGTCTTCTTTGGAGAAATGTCTATTTAGATCTTCTGCCCATTTTTCGATTGTGTTGTTTGTTTTTTGGTTTGAGTTGTGTGAGCTGTTTGTATATTTTGGAAAAAGCCCTTATCGGTTGCATCATTTGATTTGCATTTTCTTGATGACTAATGATATTGAACATTTTTTCATGTGCTTATTGGCCATTTGTGTATCTTCTTCAGAGAAATGTATATTCAGAATCTTTGCCCATTTTAAAAATCGAATAATTTTTCTTTTAATTATTGAGTTTTAGGAGTTTTTTTTATGCTTTCTAGATCCAGGCCTCTTATCTGATGTATGATTTGCAGATTTTCTCTCCCATTCTCTGCGTTGTCTTTTCCCTTTGTTGATGGCGTGCTTTGAAGCACAAACATTTTTAATTTAGATGAAGTCCAGTTTATCTATTTTTTTGTTGTCATTGTTTGTGATTTTAGTACTATATCTATGAAGACTTTGCCTAACCCAAAGTCACTAAATATAGGTTTTCCTGTATTTTCTTCTAAGAATTTTATAGTTTTAGCTCTTCCAGTTAGGTCTGTGATCCATTTTGAGTTAATTTTTTTGTGTATGGTATGAGGATGGAGTCCAGGTTTATTCATTTGCAGGTACTATTCATTTGTCCC